GGAGACAAAGCGCCGCAGACGGGAAATTTTTGGGTGCCACACCACTTTTTTAGGTTTCTTTACGCTATTTTTGGGACTGTTTATTCTAATTTTGAAGAATTATTCATAAAATTTAAGGGTCTTGGGGGGGGCAAATGCCCCCTTGCCCCCCCCCTGGCTACGCCAGTGGGCATGGCTGATAGTAATTGTGTAATAATTTCAGTGTTGTCAATATTACCACCGCTGTTTTTAATTTCTGATATTGTTTTCTCAAACTCGAAGAAAAAATTGTTTAGCTTGTCATTGCCAGAAAATTTCATATTTCTCAATTTTCTTTGGAGGTTAACTAAATTTGCAATGCCCTGTTTCTGAAAAGTGCCTCTTAATTCATCCATAATTTCCTTGGCCGTTCCCTTGGTTTTTATCATTTCGAGTACACTATCTGCCAGCACTTGGACTATTAGATTTCTTGCCTTGACATCATTTTTCTTAAAAGCAGCAACTTCTGCAGCATTTGTTGTTGTTGCATCGGGTGGATCCTTTTCCAAAACTTCCAAACACCCATAATGTTCCAGACACAATTTTACCCGGAATTCCCAGTTTGAAAATCCGTTTCCGTCGAATGGTTTAATTACACTTACTGCTTGTGGAATTGAGGACGCCATTTTCTTGTCCTTTTCCTTTCCACCACAGTACACCAAAAAAAAAAAAACTTTAAAACTTCCTGTCCTTCTTGACTTTGGCCTTCCTTTCTTTCACTAGCACACTGGGCCCATAACCTGTAGAATGTTTAGACAACTTGCCTAACTTCCGTAGGTAAGCCAGTAGTAAAAAGAACTTGTTTTAATACTGATTAATTAATTTATTGAGCGATCACAGCTTACAACATTCGACTCGACTTGACAACAGAAACTGAAGCATTGACAATTTTACAGCGACAGCTGACTACGACAAACATAACTTAAGACGGATACACACTCTGCGTCATGTGAATGCTGGTAGAATTGTTAGTGTCTATTTACAGATTAAAATAATCAAAATAAAAATTCAATACAAGGTCAGACTAAAACACTAAAATCATTTAAAAAGTCATTAAAACAAAAGATGAAGTCACTTTAAAAATCAACATAAATACAAAAACATGTTCATTCTAAAATATAAAATAAAAAATATCAAAATTGCACAAACGTAAAGTCGACAAACACAGAAGTCATTAAATAAAACTACAAATTATATTCAGACAGTCACAAGAAAGCATCTTGGAAGAATTCTTCTGTGCTATAGTAGGCCTTTGATAATAGATGCCTCTTAAGATGTACTCTAAATTTTTTACCAGATACTATCTGTCTCAGATGCAGTGGCAGATGGTTAAAGATCTTTTTACTTTTATAGATTATTGAGTTTTTTGTTTGTGTGGAGGAAGGGATAGGAAGGTTCACATTGTGTGTTTGTCGAGTGGTATGTACAGATGAAAATTCGTGTATGTTTTCCTTAAACTTTTTATGAACGAGACATGAAGTCTCTAGTAAAAAAATAGCAGGAAATGTAAGCAATTTATGACGCAAAAACAATGGTCTACATGAGTCTCGTAATCCTATCTTAAACATATACCTTACCGCCCTCTTTTGCAACACAAACAACATATTAAAGAGAGACAATGAACAAAAACCCCAGAAACATATTCCATACCGCAAATGGGATTCAACGAGTGCAAAGTATGCACTTTTTGTTGTCCCAAGATCTAGCTAACTCGATATTACTCTGATTGCATAACATCCTGATGACACCTTTTTGCTCACGTATGTTAAGTGAGGCTCAAATTTTAGTCTCTCGTCTATGTATACTCCTAAAAACTTACTCTATTTTTGACTGGCAACAGTATCTGCCCCTAAGGTAATTCCCTCAAAACCACATTTAAATTTTAACACATTTGTCTTCGACACATTAAAATTTAAACAATTCGCATTAGTCCATTCTTTTACCTTAACTAAATCATTATTGATATCCGATTTAAGCTGTTCTACATCCTTATTTACCCAGAGAATCGTGGCATCATCAGCAAACAGTGTAAATACCCCAACTATATCAATGCTAGACAGATCGTTTATGTACAATAAAAATAATAGAGGTTCCAAAACAGATCCTTGTGGAACCCCTGCACTTATAGCCAGTTGTTCTGAATCAACCCCATCAAAAGTAACTCTCTGTGCCCGTTCAGAAAAGTAGGACTCAAACCACTTTAGAGCTACCCCCCTCATCCCATAGGCTTCCAGCTTACATAACATTATTTTATGATTGACACAGTCAAAGGCCTTTGACAAATCACAAATCACACAAATCACCGTTATTTAATCCCAAATATAGTTTCTCCAAAAATGCGAAAATTGCATCATTTGTGCCACATGACTCCTGAAATCCAAACTGTTCACAACAGAGAATACTATGTTTTTTAAGAAAACTCATTAAACGCGCCTTGACTAGCTTTTCTATTACTTTAGACATTGTAGGCAACAATGAGATTGGCCTAAAATTTGAGGGTTTATCGCAGTCACCACCCTTGTAAAGAGGTAAGATCCTTGCAAGTTTCAGACAGGAAGGGAAAATACCTGATTCACAGAATCAGCAAACACCTCTAGAACCGATTCAAGCAAATGCGAAAAGACCTTCAGCGTAATCTCATCCCATCCCGCAGAATTTTTATTTTTAATATCTTTTAAGGTGTCTCTGATTTTTTGTGTTGTAGTAGGTTTAAGGAAAAAAGACTCGGATACGCTTATGTGACTTAGATATTCTCTAGGGTTAGTCCCAGAACTAATTTTGCTAGAAAGAGAAGCTGCAATCGAACAATAAAATTTATTAATCTCCGTGACAGTCAAATTTGAGTCCACTGGTATAATTGCTTAGCGGTTTTAACTACTTGCCTATATATTTTACGATATTTGTTGAAAAAAAGCATGAAACCATCATTCCCCAAATAAAACTTCCTAATGTAATGCAAAGAACGCATATTTCTAGCCGATACTCTTATACCTTTTGTAATCCACAGTTTTTTACTCTTACACTTCCTGGTTCTAAGCGGAAAAGATCTATAAAAAACTCTCAACAAAGCAGAATGCAACTCCGACAAAGAATTCTCACATCTACCAATCTCGGTCCAGTCTGTCTGCTCGCAGAGTCTCAAAAATGTCTCAAAGTTACCTGTAGAGTAAAGTCGTTTGTACTCTTTTGGCAGTTTAACTGTGCCATAGTCACATTCCACCTCCAGTCCACACACAACCGCCTCATGATCGGAAAGACCCGCACCAACTATAATATTGTCCTATACCTATCTCTAGTAATTTTCGACTTATTGATTAATTTCTTTATTTTTTCTTCAAAACATTGCTCTAGTTAAATTTGTATTACTACGTCCCTGAGATTCGTAGAAAGTTTAAATTTTGGAGATAACTTAGGGAGGTCCTGCATATTACTTTTGAGCAAGAAAATTTGTTCAACATTATACAGGGTTGGTCAAAATTAGTAATTGTGCTGCCAGGTATAAAAAAGATGAAAAGTGCACTTTTTTAAATAGAACACCCTAAATATTATGGAATATTATGAAAGGTAATTAAAATCCCTTACAAATGATGTAGCATGTTCTTATACCTAAATAGTGAGGTTTCGGAAATACAGGCAAGTTTCTGTATGAATTGGATTATTTAAAAATTATGTCTTATTAAATAGCAGTAACAAGTGTGTTAAATGAACTTTTTTCCACGAATATGACGTGCGACAATCACATGAGTGAAAAAAGGTACTGTACACACTCATTGCATACAACATTTTTTCTATTATCGATAAAATATGTGAGAAATAGTTATTTATGCAACAAGTGTGTGATTGTCGCACTCGCCCTTGGCTCGTGCGTCAAAATTCACATTCGTGAAAAAAGGTGCTTTACACACGTATTGCATACAAATTTTTTTCTACTACCAATCAAATATGTGTAAAAAAATAGATTTAGACAAATACTTAACGAACTTGTGCGTGAAGTATTTTCACTTTACGCACTAGTGCGTGAAGTAATTCACCAGGAAAATACTAAATTGACAGTGTCAACATCTGTCATTGACATTACTTTACGCACTAGTGTGTGAAGTGAATTACTTTACGCACTAGTGTGTGAAATGGAATTTTACGTCTTCTGAATAGTGCGTAAAGTGCGTACTTTACGCACGGTAGTAGAAAAAATAAATTTAGACAAATACTTCACGCACTAGTGCGTGAAGTGAAATTTAACGTCTTCGGAATAGTACATAAAGTGTGGGTGAGGTAATAGGAAAAAAACTGTAACAACCTATTTTGTTGCAACTGGGGATTTGGGGTCTTTTTTTCCTTGATCGCATGTGGATTCTGATTAAACCAAAAGTGTTGATTTCTCCTATTAAAAATACCTTCTCTAGAAAATTTAGCTTCATCGGTCCATATTAATTTTTTTTTAGAAAGTTTAGATACTCATACTTAAGTGTGTGTCAGAAATGTCTCTTAAGAGGCCTGGGTACCTCTGTGCGACGGGTTAAACTATGTCTTAATTTACGTCTAAAGTATTGGATCAAAATCAATGAAATTTGGTGGGATGATAGATGATGAATCACAGAAAAGTGGAATGTGATTTTTCATAGAAAAAAATAATTCTAAAAATTATGTCACCTCTCAAAAAAAAAAAGATTGGAATATAAAATACTTCTCACATTTCTATGTTAAAATACTAACATTTTTTACCAATATAATTTTTTTGTTAAATGCGTAAATTTCTTGTGAAACATAAAAATAAAAAAAATGTATTATTTCGGACCAATTCATGTAATCGTAACTACATATTCTATGGCATGGCAACACTGGGAACTGTCCCGCCAACCCCCGGCTGGCGCCTCGAAACCATCCAGGGAAAAAAATATTATTTATTCTTATCTGAATAATTGTTTTGACTGGCCCGTGCCGTCGAAGAGTTTTTGCATTCCCTTTTGTGTTTTGGAAATAAAATGGGTAAATTTTCACTAAGGCCTGATAGGAAAAGATTACGTTTATCTACTAAACGTAAAAATCGACGACTTGCTATGAAAAAAAGGTAGGTGAAATGGTAGAAGATAATTATTACATTACCTATATAGGTAGTCTTAATTGTAATAATTTCCAGAATTTTTATTCAACTATTTTTTGTGGGAAAATTAATTTGCAGTTATTAGTTTCTTCTGAGGACGGAAATAATTTGGGTGTTGAATTTACTTTGTCTCAATGGTAAAATGATATTTTAAAATCATAAACAATAAAGTACCTAGGTAAATATTTTTTATAAATTTTCAGCACCAATAACAATAATGACAATGACAATAATATTACTGATGCTGGTCCATCAAATTCAAAAGAAAACTCAATGGAGATAAATTCTGCGGAATCCACAAGGTAAATTTACTTCGTCACAAAAATATCAGATTTTTTTATTTGAAAAACAACAAGCATTATATCGTTTCTCTTAGAGCTGGTTTATTCACCTTCTGAATCTCTAGTCCTATTGGTCGGCCGACCAATAGGATTATAGATTGGTAAATTTATACTGCAGATATAACCAGCAAGTGTGTCTAAAGCCAATTAAACGGAGCCTTAGGCAAAGATAATTTGTATTTTGTGTTTTATAAAAAAAATAATAATGCATATAAATAGGTATAGGACGAAAAGGTCGGTACCTACTTACCTAATACTTATTTTTCAATCGTGTATTATTTTTTAGCAATTTATCGGATTTATCAGAATTTCAAGAAACTATTGAAGATAGTCAAGATAGACCTACTGTAAACTTAAATAATTCGAGGTATGTTTATTACAGAAAAATTAGAAACAAATGTTGTTACTTAAAAAGACAAGCTTTACCTATCAATTGTTTCTTTTAGGGTCAAATTATGGACCAACTGGTTGTTACCTAGCAGGTACCTACTTTCTATTCTCTAGTAAATAAAAAGTACCTGCTAGGTAACAACCAGACGTTTACCAGTCAGTCCCTAATTAGGCCCTTAGGGACGGTTTATTTTCCTTTCAATAAACTGTCAAATAATGCAATCTTACGGATAAAACGCAATCTGAAATTCCACTGGTCGGCTAGTTATCCACCGACCAATAGCATTGTAGATTGGTTAATTTATCTTGCAGATAGTTACCAGCAAGTTTATCCGAAGATGAATTAACCGGGCCTTAGTCAAAGATAATTTGTATATGTATTATAAAGATATTTAATAATGTATATAAATATAGGACGAAAAGGTTCCTACTTAAGCTTATTTTTCATTTCTGTATAATTTTTTAGCAATTTATCGGATTTATCAAAAATTCAAGAAACTATTGAAGATGAACCCTCTGTAAACTTAGATAATTCGAGGTATGTTTCTACATAATAGCAAATTCAAAGGCTACTTATTTACAAATTTTTACACAAACCATTTACAGGGTGTCCCAGAACTGGCACCACACCCATCAGATGCTTCTGTTCAGAGTCTTTCAGCAAAGACTGAACAAGGGGCTAATTTTTGTATTTTTGAAACACCCCCAAAAAAGGAAATAATAAAATTCATTTTTTCCAAAAATATTAGGCATAAAAACCTTAGAGCAGTTAAGTTCTTTGGTGGAAGGAGTAAGAACATGGAGTTGGGAAATGAAGTCATTTTTTCTAGGTATTTTGAGATCCAAAATAATGACAGTATAGCTAATTCAATGCTTTACCTGTCATTTGGTGTACAAATACCTGCTAAAAACTGGCTTCACTTTAGTTTCATAGCAGAATGGCGCGTTCCTGCTCCTCATGTCCATAGGACAGCGCTTTACCTGCTCTAAGATAAAACCGGAAAACTTTGAATTGTACTTACATAATATGGACCTGACGCGCGCGGCACCAGTTAGGGGACTCTATAATATGTTTATTTGCGAAACATTATTATTTATCCTCAAATGAAATTTTAGTTATGTAGGAGCTGACGCAATTGGTGGAAAAAGAATATTTGATGTTGCCCATCTATTTCGCCAAATTCTAAATTCAGAGAGACACGCACTGTATGATTGCACTTTAGCTGATATGAAACTAGTTCGAGAAATAAGACATGGTCTACACAGTACATTTATCCTCTAGTGCAAAATGTTTTCATGTATTAGGCAAATCACTACTGATGAAAAGTCTGATACAATAAACTCGAATTCAGCTATGGTATTGGGTGCCATTTCAACTGGGATAGGATATTCGCAAATAAATGAGCTTGCAGCTTCTCTCAATATGCCTTTTATGACATCAAAAACCTTTAATCGTTATCATGAATCTGTAGGCGGATATATCAGAGAATCACTATGTATGGAAAATGCCGCAGCCAAAGAAGCTGAGTTAGCTCTAGAAGAAGGCGACGTAGATGAGAACGGTATTCCATGTATCACAGTCGTTACTGATGGCGCTTGGGCTAAACTCTCTTACAATGTAAATTATGATTCTATGTCTGGTGTGGTAAGTAATTTCTCTTGAGATATCTGTGAATATATATATATAATATATATATATTTTTTTTGTTGTTGATTTTTACGAACTTTTTTATCCTTTTTTATCGACTGGAATATTTATTTTAGGCTTGTATAATAGGTTACAGAACGGGTAATCTTTTATTTCTTGGTATAAGAAATAAATATTGTTCATTATGTTCTTATTATGAAAATAAAGGGCAAGATATCCCTATACACAAATGTTACAAGAATTGGCAAGGAACATCAACATCTATGGAGACAGACATCATAGCAGAAGGTTTCAAAAACAGCATAAAACTGCATAAATTAAAATATACCAAAATGGTCGGAGATGGCGATTCCTCTGTATACAGAAAATTAATCCAAATAAAACCTTACGGAAACACATTGGTCCAAAAAGTTGAATGCAAAAATCATTTATTGCGGAATTTTGCTAAGAAAATTAGGGAAATATGCAGTATGTACTTATACCTACAGTTTTTTTAATAATAGGTGCTCGGTAAAATCTGGAACCCATTTACTGTCTATGACCTATAAGCGTTGATAAAATAATATGTATTTATATAGGTTTCTATTTTAGACAAAAACCGAAGCAATAAAAATATAGCAGTTCCTATGGCTTTACGAAAAGAAATTTTTAGCAAATTTATGCGACTAAGAACAGCGATTACAAAGGCCACTGCATATCGAATCTCAGAAAATAATACTATTGATGAAAATATAAATTTATTGAGAGGAGATATAAGTAATTCTCCTAGTCACGTATTTGGTGAACATGCTAAATGCAAAGAATTAAATTACTTCAAATGTAATAATTTGAATGAAAAAAATTTAATTCCTGCTATGAAAGAATGTGGTATTTATGACGACATTATGCTGGCTTTAAAGAGATTGCTGGATAATACGAGTAGCCTTATATTGAACATGGATAACAATTTGGCAGAACATTACAACAGTGTGGTTTGTAAGTTCGTCGGAGGTAAAAGAGTTAACTTCTCTCTTCGGGGTGCTTATCAAACTAGATGTGAGGCAGCAGCATTGTCGTTTAATTCTAAAGGGGATTACTACAGGAACATCTATAAAACTGCAACAGGTATAATGGGAGATAAATTTATTTTTTCTACTACCGTACGTAAAGTACTCACTTTACGCACTATTCAGAAGATGTAAAATTTCACTTCACGCACTAATGCTTAAAGTAATTCACTTCACACACTAGTGCGTAAAGTAATGTTAATGACAGATGTCAACACTGTCAATTTGGCATTTTTCTGGTAAATTACTTCACGCACTAGTGCCTAAAGTGAAAATTCTTCACGCACTAGTGCGTAAAGTATTTGTCCAAATCTATTTTTTTACACATATTTGATTGGTAGTAGAAAAATTTTTGTATGCGATACGTGCGTAAAGCACCTTTTTTCACTCATGTGATTGTCGCACTGGCCTTCGACTTGTGCGTCAAAATTCACATTCGTGAAAAAGGGTTCACTTTACACACTTGTTGCATAAATAATTATTAAATTTTATTATAACATATTATCCAATCACTTTCCACAGGTAATAGTCCGTCATTTTATACAAAAAAATATGTAGGATTGAAGAAAAAAATAGCATTAAAAGTGACACAAAAAAAATATTTAAAAAAAAAACAACAAAAAAAATTGGAGCGGGAACTGACAAAGATTATGGACCAAATGCAAATTATATCCCTTTAGACGTCAAAAGCCAAGAATATTTGGAAAAAGCTGAAGATTTTCTTAATAATCTTAAGAAAACTGCAGAGGAGATCCACTGCATAGAAAGAAACACGATCGGGCAGTCAGCCAACCTCTGCTGGATCCAAGAAAGCGCGGTTAGGATAACAGCTTCAAATTTTGGTAAAATTTGCAAGATGCGTCCACAAACATCAAGAGCAACCACAGTGAAAACTTTGCTATATGGAAACTTTCATGGTAATACAGCCACAAGATACGGCAACGATAGTGAAGCACGCGCTATTGCTGAATTTGAAGACAAATATAAAGTCAAAATTTCTCAATGTGGATTGTTTATAGATAAGAAAAATTATTATTTAGGGGCTAGTCCGGATGGATTAATTGGTGATACCCAATTAATGGAAATAAAATGTCCATATTCCATCTGTAATATGAATCCAGCAGAAGCCATCAAAGAAAAAAAATTAGCATTTGCTGAATTCGTGGATAATGAATTTCACTTGAAACGGAATCATAACTATTACTACCAAATCCAGGGCCAACTGGCAATAGCTGATAAGCAGATGTGTTATTTTGTAGTTTGGAGTCCTCATGGGATGGTAGTAGAAGAAGTATCTTGCTATATTATCTTTTGTGGAACTTACTTATTTAAATAATTATTTTTTTATAGATTTTTCGAGACTTGCAATTCTGGAATGAAAAATGTATTCCTAAATTGAAATCCTTTTATGAAAATTTTGTTTTGCCCGAATTGATAGACCCCCTTTATCCAAAAGACCTGCCGATACGAGACGAAATTGTGTTCCGAGATGCTCTTCTTATTGACACCATATAACGGGGATAGTTACCAAACTCATCCAATGCAAAGCATTTTTTTACAGACGTCAAAAAATGACAACATTTTCACACTCATTTCTGTGCGAAAAATCCCACAATGGTTTTATTGGAAATTGAACGACAAAGTTTATTGATGAACTAGCGTATACCCAGGGTGCGCTACTACCCTAAAAAAAGAATTGCATTTTGTTAATTTTTTTATAATTTTTTTCATTTACCAAATAAATTCTCCGCCCTTGGTTATTCTATAATTTGAATATGGCTACGGTGCGCCAATGAACTTTTGCATGAATATTTTGAGAAAGAGCCAGCCGAGCGTCGCGGAGTCTCTGGCGAAGTGGCCGGCAGCTAGCGGTGTTGCCAAATTGTGTGTAAGTGTAACTCGTGAACTATAAAAGGCGCTGCGATCGAATCTCAATTACGCCAGAGGTACCCAGGCCTCTTAATATCGAATTTGACGTGGGTAATCATCCAGTTTCAGCTGTTGAACTTTTGTGAATTTGAAGGGATGCATATTATGATCGTTAAAAATTTTCTGGACATAATAATAGCTCAGGCCTAAATCACCTGCTGCACTTCGGTTGGAAGCTTGGGGATATGCGTGAAAGTAGGCTGAAACATTCACGCTGTTTCTTCATCAGAATCAGACGTTACAGGCTTGGTTAAGCTTGGTGCATTCTTAAGTTTTGAACCAAATTGTATAAAGTTATTTTTTGTGCAACCGTCCGCAAAATTCAATTTCGCGGCCGCCACACTTGACGTGCAAAATGTGCCAAATCCTTATCAAATTCGTACAGTTTTTCTGTAACTTTACATAATTTTTATAGTTGCACAAAAAATTGTGTGTATACCATGACCGCGAAACTTTTCAGCGTACTTGAGAGTATCTTGCCTCGGCGATAACTTTTTTCTACGTACGCTAAAAAGGCATTTCGCGGCCTTGGTATACAATAGTATATTGTTGTATTAGGAGTAGAAGCTTTACTTTTTTGTGCTGAAGCAGTAGGTTTGCGAGCCGAACGTAGTGAGGCTTGTAATACTGCTGAAGCACAAAAAAGTGCTTCTACTCTGTATGCAACACGCTATTTTTTCTCCAAACAAATGGGGTAAGCTCGGGGGTAACTGAATGGTTAAGCGACAGTAAAAGTACGAGCGGCACTAAAAGTACTTTTGCTGCCGCTGGGGTTGCCAAGCAGCATAGAAAATAAATTTCTACCACCTCGACAGGTGTTAACCTGATGGATTTGCCTACCAGCATAGAAATTAAATTTCTGACATCTTGACAGAGGTTAACAAAGTGGCGTTTTTTTGACGTTTGGAGAAAAATGACTATTGTGTCCGAACAAATTTTCTTTGATTCATTGGTCGTAAATCAGGGTACATTTCGTTGAATTTTTTGCATATTCTTGCTCGTGCTACAATTTGACTGCAGATTTCTTCTTTTTGACGTTTTGTTAAGTTTTGCTGTGGGAAAAAACCAAATAATTTTGCTGACAGCTGATGGCAGGCAATTTTTTTAATTAAAAATTATTTTTGACACCAAAATTATCACTTCTGATTGGTCAAAATTACCAGGAGGGAAATAGTCATGGTGCGTGAAGTATTTGCCTAAATTTATTTTTCTCACATATTTTATTGATAATAGAAAAAATGTTGTATGCAATGAGTGTGTACAGTACCTTTTTTAACTCATGTTATTGTCACACGTCACATTCGTGGAAAAAAGTTCATTTAACACACTTGTTACTGCTATTTAATAAGACATAATTTTTAAATAATCCAATTCTTACAGAAACTTGCCTGTATTTCCGAAACCTTACTATTTAGGTATAGGAACATGATACATCATTTGTAAGGAATTTTAATTGCCTTTCATAATATTTCATAATATACAGGGTGTTCTATTTAAAAAAGTGCACTTTTCATCTTTTTTGTACCTGGCCGCACAATTACTAATTTTGACCCACCCTGTACAATGTAGAACAAATTTTCTTGCTCAAAAGTAATATGCAGGACCTCCCTAAGTTATCTCCAAAATTTAAATTTTCTACGAATCTCAGGGACGTAGTAATACAAATTTACCTAGAGCAATGTTTTGAAGAAAAAATAAAGAAATTAATTAATAAGTCGAAAATCACTAGAGATAGGTATAGGACAGTATTATACAAAAATGATCAAGAAGTGATAGCGGAGCGAAAAATGCAATAATATACAGGGTGTCTCATTTAAAATTTCAAAGTTCATATTACTTTTTGGTATAAGCGGCAACGTCGCATCGTTGAAATTATTTTAGAAAGATAGATCAGGAGTAATTACTTGGGCATGCAAATTTTCAAAAATATCCAACATTCCGTTTTCCATAAACGTCTAACCTACCATCGACCATCAATCACCCTGTATATCAATAATATTTGTATGGCCTTTTTTTCCTATTTTATAGTTTTATTATTTTATTTATGAGAAGGAAATCACAGGTATTTCATTTATTTTTATTTGTGTATAAGAAATAGGTATTAGGTTTTTAGGGCGGGTATTATGAAACTATTTTGACGGAAAACAGATGACTAAAAGTTAACTTTTGGAATTACTACGAGAAGTAACGTCATTCCAGAAGTTAACTTCTAGTTATTCTGTCGAAATAGTTTTTTAATACCCGTTCTGAGTTGCAGATTTCTTTTTTTTGTCGAGTTCAGAGTTGTCATTTTTTTGTTGTTGTTGAACCATGGTTTAAGGCAAACATAAGTAATAAAATAAATTACTATAAATAACATAAAATATGTTTCCATATTCTTGAACTCGAATTTTTATTCACCTACTACACTTTACATTCCTATACATATGTATAGGAGATAGGACAAGAGCACTAAAACTTGTTATCGATATACCAATTTTACATGTTTGTAACATTTCATTTAATTCACCATAAAGTTATTTTGAATTTTAATACTATAGATAACAGAAAACAGACGAATTAATTTAAATAATTAAATAAATATAGTTTAAAAAAACTAAAAAACACGCTTTTATAGTAAATTGAACTAAAAAGTGAAAAATTTTAGAATTATTGTGAAAAAAGCGTGGGGTGCTTTGTTCCACATTTCTCGTACATTGAGCACCCCACGCTTTTTTCACAATAATTCTAATATTTTTTGATCATTAATATTTTCTGTGTATATTAAAAATTATTTTTCACTTTTTAGTTCAATTTACTATAAAAGCGTGTTTTTTGGTTTTTTTAAACTATATTTATTTTTTCACTTTTTAGTTCGATGTATTATTTTGTTGTTCATTTTTTCATCTTTGAAGAAAAAACTTTAATTCTTATTTGTGTTTTGTTTATATTTTGTGCCATTTATCTTTATCAACGGCTAGTGCGTCGCACCGCACCGGTATCACACTCACACTGAGTGTGTCATTCCTGAATTCGCCCCAGAGATTTCCAGACTTTTGCAGACAATATCCAGACTTATTCAGAGCTTTCCAGAGTCTTCCAGATTTCATCCAGATTTATCCAGACTAGTACAGACTGATCCGGATTCTGGAAAATGATCCCTAGGTTATTTGGGACCTTTTCCAGAATTTTTCCGACCCTTTCAAGAAGTTTCCAGGCCTTTTCCAGATGTTTCAAGAGATTTCCAGACTCTTCCAGACAATATCCAAACTTATCCAGAGTTTTACAAACTTCATCCAGATTTATCCAGCCCTTATCCAGACTTGTACAGACTGCTCCGAATTCTAGAAAATGATCCCCAGGTCTTTTGGGACCTTTTCCAGAATTTTTCCGACCCTTTCAAGAAGTTTCCAGGCCTTTTCCAGACGTTTCCAGACTTTTCAAGACGTTTCCAGACTTTTCCAGACTATCCAGAGTTTTCCAGACTTCATCCAGATTTATCCAGACTTTTTCAGACTGATCCGGATACTAGAAAATGATTCCCGGTCTATTGGGACCTTTTCCAGAATTTTTCCGACCCTTTACAGAAATTTCCAAGTCTTTTCCAGACGTTTCCAGAGATTTCCAGACTTTTACAGGCAATATACAGACTTATCCAGACTTGTACAGGCTGATCCGGATTCTGGAAAAAGATCCCCAGGTCTTTTGGGACCTTTGGCAGAATTTTTCCGACCCTTTCCAGAAATTTCCAGGCTCTTTCCAGACGTTTCCAGAGATTTCCAGACATTTTCCAGACTTTTCCAGGCTTTATCCAGATTTATCCAGACTTGTTCCAACTCACTTGGCTTGTTCCAGGTTCTTGTTCATACACTTCACGCTTCCCAAGGGCCAAAAGTTCGCACGCATCCCTATGTGCCCGTGCGATAAACATTTTCAATGTTACTTACAAACATACATACATACATACAAGTGAAGCTAATATAAGCGTGTTAAAATATAAATAAATATCCAAATTTTGATATATATTGGATATATATCGATATATATCGGATAATTGGATATTTAAATATCATGATATTTGCCAACCCTGAGTACATTAAAGAAGTGAATTCTTGCAATGTTTCAACTCTATCATCGTTGTCAAAAACATCTTCCAAATCAGTTAAAGATGCAACAACCTTTTGAAACAATTCATTTTTCTCCAAGATATTGAATGGCCCCGCCTTATCTCTCCGAAAAAAGGCTGCAATGTAGTGTAGTCACACCCAGTGGAAGGTATGAAAACCAAGCAAGGCGCTACACAATAATGGACCTAATTTTGCAGCCAAAGTGTTGCAATCGACGCAATCCTGGTCTAACTTTTTTCTCACAGTACCTGTTATCCATATTTCCAGATTTGGGAAATTTCGCAAGTGACTCAAAAGCAAAACGAGAGCATCAGTGTCTGTAGCTTTTACCATGATTGAACTGTTTGACTTGAACTTCGATATATGAAATATGATTCTCGTGTCCGCTGCCTTGCAATTCTGTTTCTTCAGTTTTATTAACGTTATCTCCCTGAACATGGCATGAATAGCATTCCTCTTCGCATGTCAGAAAAACTTTTTTGTTTTTTTCTGTTTAATCTCATCTACCGAGTTCATCAGCCCAAAATTCTAACAAAAAAAGAACTCTTTAAATTTTTTGTTCCTCAAGCTCTTTAGAAAATCATTCGGTCTGGTTTGTTTTGGTCTAACGATTGAATATGGTACGTCAAATTCATCGAAATCTTGTCGAGTACAGTCTTTGATGGAGGGAGAAAAAAACCTGTTATAAATGACATGGATTTCTGCTGCATTTATATTGCATATTTATATTAAAAGTGTTTGTGCAATTTTTTCGAATGTTTGAGAAAGTGACGCGCCGCGCAGATGCATGAAGTAACACCCGTCAGTTATTAATATTAACGACCTTTGGTGGCGAGGACGTTGATTTCAAAAGTTTACCAAGTGTGGACTCATCAGAAGTATGCATTTCGCCAGAATACTGCTAAAGAACTAGAGGTGCGGGAGCTAATGGATAGGATAAGCAAATGTTTATGTCGACATGTTTTTTGAGCGCAATCCCAAGCAATGTAGCAAATATATCGTCGCCTTCCTTGCAAAGGGGCCTATCTCATTTTTTGTGATTTTTCAGGAGAGAAAAAAGAAGTTTCTACAAATATTTTGTGAGATTATTTTCGTGCCAAATCTGATGAGATAGGCCTTCGAGATTACCTATATTTGAGGATTTGAGATACGCCTTTTAGAGGGTAGCTGCAGGCAACTCTTTTGATGTCTCCCAAGGGCCTAACTCAATTTAGCAATTTTTTGAGATAAGTCCCTTTGTAAGGAAGGCGACGATATTTTGAATTTTGATTAACACTTTACTTTTTCTGCATTTTCTTCAAGCAATCAGATGCGAAATTCAAAATTGGAACACGTTTTATCAGTTTGTCGAAACGTTGTACCGGGTGATATTTATATTTTGCATCCACACCTATCTTACCCGTTTGAAGAGGTACCTAGAAATGTCAAATGTGAAACTTGTAGGTAATATCAAAACTTTGCAATGAAGTTAGTTACAAGTATACAGGGTGTGTCACAAAAGTGTGGCGAAGCAAAGTTATACTTTTTTAAATCGAACACCCCGTTAGATTATTGACCTATTGAATTAGTCTTTCAAATATGATTCCAAATGTACTAGTTTCTGATAATAGAGAGATATTGGAGATTCTATAAGGCCAGGCGTTAACAGTGCTGGGCAGTATTTTGACCCTTTTGACATTTACACATGCGCAGAAACTATCAGACTTAACGCCGGCACTAATAGTGTTAGTGCCTGCCTTTATTAGTGGAAGTTTAAAAATCGGGTACAGCCTGGTCGTATTTTGACAATGTAATCAAGTGCGCGATATTTTTCGACATAACCTCATCAAAACTATTAAAAATAAACAAACAATCAACGGAAAAGTTTATTATTTTTGCGAAAGTGACAAATATAGAATAAATCTTTGAAATATATTTTTCTTTTACTCTTCAAACGAGAAGTTGTTAAGGTCAAAAATGGGCGTCTGAGGCAGGTCATTTCTGTTTACTAGCAAGTTATCCAAGATAACAAATTCCAGGTCATCGTCATCTGCACCATCTAAGATGATCATTTTTAGAAGCTCATCCATTATCTAATTAAAGAAACCAAGAGAAAAAGAAAGCAACAGAAAAATTAAAAACTACGAAGAAACAGAATCTCTATAATTGTCCGTTGCCAGAAACCAAGTTAAAACTGGTTAGAATTAACGCCTATTGAAAATTTGTTGCGTCTGCCAATAACTTTGTAGGTAGGAAAATGTTAGTAAATTCAACAAGGCCCTAATGCACGCTCTGAATATACAAAATCTCAGCACAAAAAGACAGCACATAATTTCTTAGGTTTTAATTTACTTTTTTATCTGTGTTGTTTACAGTATGAAACGATTTTGGTTAAATACATGAACAATGCACATGTTATAAACAAACAAAAAATACATAAAAATGTACAAAATAATAGGAACTTGTATAAATTTAACTCTTAAAACAAAATAAAATTTAATCCACTAACCTGTACGCTTCTTACACACACACTAATAACAAATTGGACTGAACAATCAATTTTAATGCAAAATATAAATAAAAATTGAATAATGAATAATTACAGACATGCGACACGTTTTCTAAGGGACCAGTCTAGCGCGTTCTGTAGTCTACATAGTTTCTCTGTTTTGTCTCTTTTGTCTCCTATTCGTTTCGGTATCTTTGTTTTCTGTGGGCAGTACATGGTTGCAATATTCAATTTTATTCAGTAAACATTTTTTTAAAAGTTAAAATTTGAAGAAATAATATTTTAAATAGGTGGTTTTCCTCACTAGATTTTGAGAAAGCCTTCGATAAAGGTAAATCACTTGCTTTTGCATAAATTGGAGAATTCTGGCGTGAGGGGCAAACTTCTAGATTTAATTCACCAATTTCTTACAAATAGATTTTATTGTGTATAAGTAAATGTTACGTTCGCAGCGAAATATCTAGTTGTTAGCGGAGTTCCCCAAGGGTCTGTATTGGGGCAATTACTCTTTCTTGTGTATATCAGCGACCTCTCGTGGAAAATTCGGACCAATATATTTTTTGCACATGACTCGAAACTGTACTACAACCCACTGACACAAGAAGAAGACCTGTCCTCGGATATAAATAAAATTGTGAAATAGTCCAAACTATGGGGTATGAAATTGAATGAAACGAAATGCTCAGTGTTGCACATGGATTCAAATAATCCATTAGTCATATACCACCTCATTAACATAGCTCTATCATCAGTTGAAGAACAAAACGATGCAGGTGTTATCATTTCAAATGACTTAAAATGGGGGAAGCATATCAAATAAATTCATTTTTTCAATACGGAAAACATTTAAAGTCCATTCGGTAAATACCATTAATTTGCTCTATAAATCTTATATAAGACCCAAGTTAGAGTATGCTTGCTGGAATCCATACTACGCTGAGGACATCGAGACCTTGGAGAAAGTGCAGATATCATCATTTAAAAGGTCACTCAAAAAAACTTTCCAAAGAGAAATCTGCGAAATTTCCTAGAAAAAACTTTATTACTAATCGAATAGTGTAGTGTATACATGGAACTCTTTGGAGGAAAATACAGTTGGTGCATCTAGTGTGAATCAGTTCAAAAACAGACTTGATCAAGAGATGCAGAAAAAGACTAGTGCATTATGGACCATAGAAATCGTTTTTTGAGAAAGCCTTCTTTTTTATAGTGTAATACGTCGAATACGTGTATGTGGAAGTCGTTTCAACAAGGATGTCAAGTTTTTTTCAGTGCCTACCGTTTTAAATTTTTCCATCCTGCATCTAAAATAAAGCCATACTCGAAATACTTGTAAGAATCTAAGCTTTTATAAGCCTTCATTTGCTCATTGCTGTAAAAACTGTAGGTCAAAATTAGACATTTTTTCAAACTTACCGTTCGCCCACATCCCGATGTTCCTGCCTTAAAGTCTTCAGATATTTCCTCTGCATCTTGAAAATTATATTATAACAAAGTACAAAGTAAACTATAATTAATTCGAAAATATTTCAACTAAACTCAAGATGAACAAAAAAACATAAATTTTCTCACAGGTGCCATATTGAAAAAACATGTGGTTCGGAGGATCTAATTGATGAAAAAGGCAGGAAGCGCAACGACAAACCGGTTTTCGAGCGTACAGTAAGTTTAAGAGTCATGACGCTCCGGATTTTTCGAAAGTGTATGCGCAACTTCATCCAACGATGCTAGAGATTTCCGGGTAACAGACGTCCGGCACCGTGGTTTTCCTCATTGCTTAGGTCCTTATTTACAATTTTTGCTAAGAGTGTTTTCATCGGTGAAGAAAAAGATAGTAAATTGCGTTAAACCACCCCATTTATCGCTACAGTGCCAGGGGTTGTGGATGGGTCGGTCGTGGCACCGTAGGTTTTTTAGGCATCATACGCATTAAAAAGAACTTTTTGGCGTTGATTTCATGCGTCGGTGATGAAAAAGGTGTATGTTATAAAAAAACGGTCAATTTTTTAATTAAAAAAATATGTTTTCAGCAAAATTTCATTTCAATCATTTCGGGTACGTCTTTTCACGACGAATCGTTTGTGACATTCGAAATGTCATTCGCTTCAAGGTCGAAAAAATGAGCGGTCTGTTAGACTAAATGAACATAGAGCGTTTGAAGCAGCTTTCAAAAAATCCATATTTATTTTCACAGCTTCCATACATTTAAAATTGTTCAAAAATTGGCTACAAAAAGTATTTAAAGCAACTTTGAAAACATCTAAAGTCAATCTCCATCCTCTACCCTTTCAAATATTAAATTTTATATGTTTTTTTTTTTTAATTCTAGGTGGTAGTCAGACCAATGATGTACATCGCTCTGACTTACGATCACAGATTGATCGACGGACGCGAGGCAGTATTATGTTTACGTAAAATCAAATCCGGAGTGGAAGATCCCCGTACCATGCTAGCCGGTCTTTAAATAACTAATCAGCCAGGTGATACTTTGATTCATGTAATAATTTTGTTTTTACTATATAAATTAATAATTTTTCAACTAATTAGTGATCGCAATATTGTCGGCATCCAATCTTTATTAGGCTTTTTTTATTATTTTAGGAATCTGAAATGTCACTGAAAAAAAGAAATAATTCTTTAGGCATCCGAAATAAGAAGTTATTATATGAGTATTTTTATTATTTATGTAAATTTATTATGTATTATTTATTTGAAATTGTTTTTCATTTTATTTACATATTTTAATTTCCAATGAAGCACATACATTCGATTTATACGAAAGAAAAAAATTAATAATAAAACAACAAAATTTGGTAATTGATGGAAACACGTTTTAAACAAATTAATAAATTTTCTTTTTATTGAATTTTAATTTTAGTAAAAATGTGAATAAAAATATGTGAAAAATGTGTTGCTTAATTTATTGTTACACTTAATTGAAAGTATTGTAGCAAAATAAAAAAAATTGTTTGTTTTAGATTTTATTTTTTTGTTGTTAATTTCTCCAAATGAATAAAAGTTTTGTTATTAGACTGACTACATAAAATAAACACAATAAAGACTTAAATATAGCATAAATAAGAGGTAAGCATACACTACAATCTAGTTATGTAACTGATAAACAGGAAATCCTTTTTAAAAAACTTTATTATCTTGAGAACGGTACAAATGAACTAACTAGATTCTGATCCTAAATTCCTTTATATAATATTAATATGCTGATACTTATACCATTGCTTACAATGGCAAAATGTGGGGGTTTAGTGGAACATAACTATCTCACTATTCATCATTTAAATTTATTTAAAATAACTATTACAGAATTTTTTATACAGGATGAAAAGTTCTCGAATAAACTCAGTCAAGTAAAGGAAACTGAAATATACTAATTATGAGGGCTATGAGGCAACTTCTTTGTGTTTCTCCTTCAAATGCATTTGCAAATGTTGCTTATACTTGAAAGTCTTCGAGCAAACATCACAAGAAAATTCCCTGACGTCACTGTGAGTCTTCATGTGCATATTTACTCCGGATTTTAGACTGAAACTCTTATCGCAAATCTAAAATATCGAATCAAACATTTTAAACTTTATATTAATATACATGCCTCTGATAGAGAAGATTTTATAAATTTCATGGTTAATCCGCATTTTTGTAATCTTGAATTTGAATCTTAATAATAATAATTCTGAACTAGTGTACAATTATTCTTGAGTTGATCAAGAGCCGGTAATAGTCCAAATTTTGATATTAGGCATAATTTCTCTAGAATAATCCAAATCAATACCTGCTTTTGATTAACTGGGAAATGTTTCAGAAGTAACCAATAAGTAGTCCTTTTGTTTGTGCTTGAAATTAACGTGTTTTTCTTATTCAATAAACTAGTCATGAAACAATTACGCTATTGCTTTGCAGTATATATTAAAAGTATTATTAAATGGTTGCGGTGATTAAAAAAAATTTACTCACCTGACAAGAATAAGGTCGTTCTTTTGTATGGACGACTTCATGTCTTTTTAAGGCATGAGGTGTGAAAAACCCTTTCCCGCATTTGTCGCACGTGTAACGTCTGATTCCTGCTTCTTTATCTTGGTGTTTTTGTAGGTGCTGCTGTAGACGTTTTGTGTTGAACATTAAGCTGCACTTTGGACACTTTTCAGTCTGAAAATAATGTGCAATCATTATTTTCAATTCTTTAAATATTATTCAAGGAAAATTATGTTTTTAATGACCAAAATTGACATTAGGAGTTTGTCCTTGAAATTGTTACTATCGGGTCTTCAAAAAAAAAAAAACAATCAAAGATTGCTATGGTTTTTTAAACATACGTCTTAGCAATATTTTTCTTTAATTTTGACAATATCAGTCAATGAAATTTAATGTCAAAATGTCATGTCAAAAATCCTGACCAATAAACAAAGCAATCTTCGATTGGTTTTTTTTTTGAAGACCCGATATAATGGTTTAACAATAGTAAACGATAAAAGTAAACCGATGAGACTATTGCATTGAGTCTGTTATTATTTGTTCGTCATTAAGAAGTTACTGCGACTTCACTTTACTTTGAAATTTAATTATAAACTCGCTCCGGCAAACTAGAGGCTAGATAATAGATTTTCTTATAATAATTAACAAGGATATAATTATTGCTATAACAATAGTGAAACGTGCAGGCTGTTATATTTAACAGAAACCACGATCAGTATCACGAGTACCTACCTACTGATCAACTTTTTAATACATAATACCCTCTTGCTGCTTGTAATGTGATATCAAATTCTTCATAACCATTAACAAGAAGAGCCGCGAGCAATTTGAACAAAAGTAGGTGAAAGTAAGCTGATTTTATTAAAAACTAGATTGATTTTCATGTCTTCAATTAGCCGTGATCGTCTAGTAGTCTAGTGGTTAGGACCCTACGTTGTGGCCGTAGTAACCCAGGTTCGAATCCTGGTCACGACAATGTAAAACAAACTATGAGAAGACGTATTTTTTATATATTTTTTTTTTGATATAATTTTGATTCAAATTTCTTAGACATGTTGGTTAAATCAGCTATAGTTTTTATAAAGTATTTTTATAATAACGATTAATGGAATGCCTAAAAAACACCAAAGGATTTGGTATCTTTCCATATCTACATATTAGTAGAGTGCAAATACGGTTTGAAATTGAACAAATTAACATCAAGATGAGACTAGCGGCAATTAGTAGTATGTAAATTGATCTGTAAACAACATACTGAAAATCCCCATATGTCTGGATATTGCAACATCAGAAAAAATAAGGTCAAAGGTCATGAAAATCGATTTTTCGCAAAAATCTCGCTTCCAGTGCATCTGACGTCAGAGAACCCAAAACAAAACTTACGTGAAATAGTATTCTCTACAAAATTGATCATATTACATTTTTTTCGTATGAGTAACCGTTTTCGAGATATAGCGTGATCAAGCGGGAGCGAGCATTCAAAATAGGCAATACTGTATTATACTGCGGAGCTATAGCTATAAATGCATTTTTCCTAATCTGTTCGTCTGGAAAATAAAATTTTCAATAATAGAATAGGCTCCTTGCATCAAATTTTTTTATTGCTGATTTCTATAGTTCATGAAAAATAAGTTAACACGTGTTTTTTCTTTTTCTTCTTAGTCAAAAATTGACGGAGATACATGATACAACACAATGAAATCTGCCTATGAGCAGGGCCGATCCTAGGGTTTCAGCCGCCCGCGTGCAGATCGCAATTTCGCCGCCCCATAAAGATAGCCCTCTGTACGTAGGAGGCGCCGGTGGTGGTAGCTCGCCGCAAGCGCCACCGGAGGCAGAAAATTTTTTTGGATGCCACGCCCAAAACCATTCATTTCGAGCCACAAAATGAACGTTTTTGGGCATTTCGAGTTAAAAAAAAACTTATTTGGAACACATTTGTTTTCTATGAGTTGTTTGAATGCTGGTGAGTTGTGATCAATAATGACAAATACCTACTATCCTAAAACTCAGTAGGGCCTGGGCTTGGGCCTGGGTACGTAAGTACAAAATAAGGCCCAGTGAAAAATCGAGATACCCCAGTCCCAAGTCGTAATACTTCATAAAATACCCACCTGCACTTGGAATTCTTTGGTATCAAAAAAGTTGGTAACATTGTTAGCGGCAGTATTCACCTAGTTCTGTTGGATAGTTAGTAATTATTCTTGCAGAATTAGGTGAATTGGGAACAAAAATAAACATTTTGGAAAAACAATGCAAAAGTATTCCGAAAATATGAACATTTTTGCGATCCAATGATGGATGTCTAAAGAGGTAAAACATTATGCGTGAGCAGGGGCGGACCTAGGACCTTTGGGGCCCGACGCAAATTTTCTTTTGGGGCCCTATCATGCTTTTTTTAGTTATTTTTCGTCTGGTGTTGTGGTGTGAGGTGAGTGTGCGAAAGTTATTATATTTTTGAAGTTTTTAACAACCTAATATAAACACAAATTTAATCAATCAAGAAACAAGTTATTCAGAAATATGAAACAGAAAACAAGTTAAACGAAAAAAAAAATAGAAATTGTAAAAACTCAGGAACTTTTTATCTAAACAAAAAGATAAACAACATAGTAGTACCGTACTGATACTAGGCGAATTCGGTCAATCAGGGGCGGACCCATGGGGAAGGGGGGCAGGGGGGGGCAACGCCCCCCCCAATGTCCACTCCAGTTGGTAAAAAAATGTCTAGTTGGTTTCCAATCCTCACGCCAGTTGGTAAGACCCCCAATGTCCACTCCAGTTGGTAAAAAAATATCTAGTTGGTTTCTAATCCACACGCCAGTTGGTAAGAGAAAACGGCAGTGTTAATACTTCTAAAATTGACTTAAACACGTTCTAAAGAAAGGAAGACTTTATTCTTGAAACCGAGGAACAGCGTTCTCATGAGAACGATTGCTCTGTCATTGTCAGTGTTTAGGAAATATGGATACGGACGATGAACATAGAACCTTCGTTCTCATGAAAACGCTGCTTCCCTGTTTCGAGAATAAAGTCCATGCTGAGTGGCTGAACTTAGCCACTGGCACCGCCTGAATGTACCCATTTCCTCTCTCTAGACCAATGACCTATTAACACAGATAGACAGAACAATAAACAATAATATCGGTTGACTACATGACATGAACCGCATCTCTCCCCACTATTTATTAATCCTTGTGTTATTTTGTATCTTTCTCTAACACGTGGAAAGCGATTATTTTTCAATGAAAATTAGCAACGCTGCAAAAAAATAAATCCCACCTCGAATTCCACCTTTCCACCAATCAGCGGCTTCTATTCAATTGTCATGTCAAAATGCGAACTGCAGGTATTTTATGACAATTTCCATTTGTCAATCAGTGCGCAGTGAGTGTATCCGCATCTTTTTCTAAAATTATGTAAAATATAAGGATAAAGATACACTTTTGTAACACTGATTCTGGTTTCATTTTCAGAGTTGCCAAGTATGCGATAATAAAATGGGGGCGGAGTTAGCGGAATCATTTGAATCCCTACTCCTAGCCGCTCTCACAGCTCACCCCCCCTGGCCCATAAACATGTAGTCAACCAAAACAAAGCTATTTTATCAATGGGATGTTCTGTCGTTCTGTCTATCTGTGTTAATAGGTCACTGCTCTAGACCTAATGAACATACATACCTATCTATGACAAATGTCAATTTAGTACTTAATTTATACAGGGTGTTTGGTAGGTCGATGCAAATATTTTGAGATGCGATAGAGTAAGTCATTTAGAACCTATTTAGTCAAACTTACCTTAGTACCAAGTCTTATGGTTTTCAAAATATGGTATATTTTATTTTTTCTTAATCAACTCCTTCATTCGGTGCTTCAATGCAATATTAGGCAACAACATCACAAATTATCACACAAATAAGCCAGACGTTAACAAACTGTTCACTTATTTCAGTTTACAAGTGATAATTTTGTTTTTAAAGAGAAGAAAAAAGAGGCTAGGTCCAGGTTTTTCCGTAAATACCTACTTATTTTTGGGAATCTGTAGTCTTAATTAATGATTTTTGTGCTGCAATCCAAAAAAAAAAATTGTAATTTTTTCGTGATATGTGCAATTCGAAAAGGCACATGTGAAAATACTTATTTTCCTAATAGGTGCGTAGTTTTCCTTGTACTTTATTTTTTAAATTTTCACAAAATGGGATAAAATTTTGTATACATCACCTGAGTTAAAATGTTTATTCGTTCATTAATCCACTCGCTGGGGCTCGTAGGTTAACCTTTTTTCTCATAAATAAACATTTATTTAACTCTCTTGGTGTACCTATAAATAACTATGAAAACGTTGGTTGTCTTTATCGTATTTTTTTTCAAAAAAAAAGCTTAATTTGCAATGGAATTAGCACTCTTAGTATTAATTTTTTATTTATTTTATTGTTAATGCATTTGACCCAAGAAATACACATTCTATTAAGATACAAAACAAAAATAATCGAGAAAGTATTTCTCAATATCGCATTAAAGCACTCAATGAAGGATTTCTGAGATTTTTTTAGGAAAAAATTAAATCGGTCATATTTTGAAAACCATAGGACTTGGTACTAAGGTAAGTTTGACTAAATAGGTTCGAAATGATTTACTCTTTCAGCTCCAAAATATATGCATCGACCTACCAAACATCCTGTATATATTATATATCCTCAAAATTTTAGACCAGCTGCATACGCTCTTGCAACAGAGATTGAAATTCTCTTTGACCTATGTAATAAACATACCAAAACTATTGATAATATCCAACAAGTAGTAAAAGTAGCATTAAAAAATATAAATTCACTCAAGAAAGCATTTCAAGTATGCCAACTCTACTTTACTGCACGATATTCAAGGTGAGTTCGACTTGGCAACTCTTTTGATTCCTTTGACACTTTTTACTGCAAAATCGTTCGGGTCAGGCCACTGGGAGCAAATAGTGCAAGCTTCTCATCGTTCGGGTACAGCCAAGTAAAGTGAAAAGAGATAACTCCAGAAGCACCACCTCGAGAGATGAAGTTCGAGGAGCGGGCATGCGCATTTCCTTTATTTCCAAAAGGCGGTAAAATTTAAGTTTTTAATAATTCACTATGCTAACGATCCTACCGAAAAGAATTCAAAGAAGATATTTTATCCTTAGGGCTTGGT